TTGCATATGTAGGGAGTTTTTGAAGTTGTGTCGTTATGATATCCTTGGTATTAATATTTAGTACCTATCGATCTAACATTAGCCTAGCAGCCACGTATGATTAGAGTTTCGTCGTGACTTTGTTTCGAACTATGCTTATTTCTTTTTACTGTGTTGGTCGATTGCTTGAGGACAAGCAATGGTTTAAGTGTGGGGATGTTTGATAACGCGAAATCATATCGTTTATTTGGCTTGATTTGCATGCATTTATTTGTGACTTTTATTAATTTATCTTGATTTATGTTCTATTATATGATTAATTTACTTTGTTTTGCAGATTGGGGAGAATTTGGACTAAAGAAAGAAAAAGAGAAGAAAAATACAGAAAATAGCAGAAAACAGAATTTGTGACTGTCACGGTCGTCACGGCCATGTCACGACCGTCACAGCCTTCACGATCGTCACGGCCATGTCACGACCGTCATGCTTCTCACGCTTGTCACAGATTCCTCACAACCGTTATGCATCAAATAACAGAAAGAAGTGGCCATGAGCACTTTCCTCCTTTTTCTCCTACATTTTCTCCACTCACTGCCCACTACTGGAAGTTACTCCCACTCCCTCCATAATTCACCCATGATCTCTGGAAGTTGAAGAATGAATTATTTCCTATAAATAGGCCTTAGATTCAGAGTTTTAGGGGAGGCCTTCGACGTATCGAAGTGCTGCCAAAATTCCCATTAAAGCCATTTTTCCCATTTCTATTGTTTTTATTTCTTTTCCATTTTTCCCTTTAGTTCAGAGCTTTGTATTTATTTCTGCAATTTTATTTGGCCAATTGGCCAAAGTAGAATCCTGCCGACATTGTGGAGGACTACTCTTACGAACCAGTATCTCCATTCCAACATTATTTTATTTTCTGTCTCGTTTTATTTGTATCCAAACCAACCGTATAACAATTTCCAACATTAGGGGATTGTTATACATCTATTTGTTTCCAACCTTCAGCACTCGTTTAATTTTAATTTCCGCCTACTCCGAGCTTTCCGGTCTGTGGAAGAAGGGTCTGCTCAATTATCTGTTAACCAGGTTTTTATTATATTGCAATTTGATTTATTTATAATGTCTATTTATTTTTCTGCCATGAGTACATTATTATTAAATTCCCTGTCTCTGTCTGGTTCAACATCGATGAGTAGCTAAAAACCTTAGGGCGGTATGTAGTTATAACAAACTTAACTGGTGAAATATAACCATAGGCTAAAAATAATTAATCACTTAATATTCTGGCTGATACTTTTTAATTGAAATAGACCTTTTCGTTACGAGAGTAAGAAAAGAGTATTAGGTTGGGTCAAGACCACGAGAGTGTGAGATTTTAACCAGATAGCTAAAGTTAGGCATTTAAATTAAATACAGCGAGAGCGCTTTAAGATAAATTAGAATTATTTAGTTTCCAAAAATTATCTCTAAACACTTATGGGCTAGCGAGAGCAGGCATAGGGCTTTGGGGATAAGATCTGATATAAGACCACGAGAGTGTGAGTTGAGGGTATTTAAACTGGTAATCTCTACCGAATAGATTAAGTGAACACCTTTATAAGCCTAGGTTAGATTGACCCACCTAAGTTAGTATAATTACATACCGACCGCCTTAATATTATTTTACTAAAACTTAAATTTAATTCCGCCTTTAATAGTCTTAGAAACCAACAAAAATCGTGACAACCATTCGCCTTAGCTTTACGCCGTAACAATAGATAACGGTAGATTGACATTGGTCTCTGTGGGTTCGACAATCTTTTATATTACTTCGATAGGCTGTGCACTTGCAGTAAGATACCGCTAGACGCATAAGTAGACACGTCATTAGCCCATCAAGAGTATACTTCTCCCACTTGGCATTATCAAAAAGGTGAGAAAGTATTCAAGTACATATAACAAGTACATATATAACAAGTATTCAAGTACATATATCATGCATAAAAACTTAAGGGAAAAATAAACTTCATTAATTGAAATAAATGAATTCAAATACAAGAAGGGAAATAACTAAGAAACACATAAGTGAGACAACTACTCACTATCATTAATATCAACGTCTCAAATTATGTCTTTTCTTAACGTGTTCCTCTTGATGATAACCACATCCTTCACTTAGTCAACACATTAAGTACCACCACTTGATCAACATGTCAAACACCATTACTTTAGCACCATATCATGTATCTTACTTGATTCTACAACATGTCAAGCATCATCACTTGATCATATATTAAGCACCATTATTTGATCTATCTTCAAGCACCATATTTTGAATCAATATATCCTTGAACAACAAGATTGACGAAAACTTCTCTTTAGAATGTTGTCAACATGAAAACTAAATCAACAAGTAACTGCAGTCTCTATACATGCAAACACATATATCAACACATTTTTCATGAAGCCATTCCCATGTATTGTCTTTTCTTGGCCGCCCACTGCATGACAAACTCTTTTCACGTTTGCTTAATTAAACCTCAAACAAGCACATAAACAACAATTTCAACAAGTGAAACTCCCTTAACTACATCCGCGCGATTATTAATGTAGATGAAAGATGCAATAACACACATATTGGATTTGGTGGTACCTTTCACACCTCATATGAGACATGACAATGTCGTTTCTCTAGATTCATTCCAAACTTTTCAGATATCCTCCAAGCATATCTCCGATCCATTCATAAGGATATCTCTCTGACCAAAGGTATGATCATTATTGACTTGACTTACTACATTAACTCATTTCTCAGTATCAACTTCATTGATACTCCCTTGAATGGTTATCACAACACATGTAATGTTGATTCAAAGTATTAAATATATTTTATTTGAAAACACAATGTTTCGAGTCATCCACATCCTCTATGAAGACAATAAAAAATTAAAAGTGCATAATATATGATAAAGTTCAGTATAAATGCAAATTTTATAGTAAAGTTCAATACATCTACTAACATTGATCTCTTAATTTATGACTCATCTTATTCGAAATTGAGTAACATTCTTGCGGATGCAACAAAAAACTTTACTTTTAAGGTTATAATTTTTTTTTACTTAACCTTGTAATAACAAAAATTAAATATAATATTTTCTTATTTATGACATGCAATAAAGAAAGAAAATAATACTATTTTGTGTGTGAAATTAGTATTAATTTTCCATAACTACAATTAGGAGGAATTTAAGTGGACCGGTTATGGCGGTGAAAAAAAAAAATAGAAGCAAGATAAAATAAAAATTGAAAATGGTTAACGGTTTGATTGTTTTCACATATGAACAGGAATAGGGTTTTGGTTGGAGCTTGTCACTGTTACTTCCCACACGAACCTTCTACTTTACTGAACCTCACAAGACAACTTCCATCTTCACTCTTCCTTCCAATTTCACCATTAAGGTATCATCAATCTCTCAGATCTCTCTTACAATGATCCATACCAAACCTCCTTTTCGTCAATTACCGTTGTTCATACTCTCCATCATGTACTGTCCCCCTTTTCCCTCATTTTTTCAATTTAGGGTTTCGTATTGCGTTGATCATAGATTAGAATCATAAGAATTTCATTGGGTCTGGTTTTGTCATCAGATTCGTATCGTTTTATGCATTTCTGTTGGATTTTGATTGTGAATTAGGGTTTGTGATTGAAAAATGCTAAAATTTATTGTTTTTTGTTTTTTGTTTCCCCCCCAAATATCTTAATTACAGTATCTTACTGAAAAATGCAGTCTTCCCAGGTTGAAACCTCAATCCCACAGTTTCATTTGTTTATTATATTTTTCATTTTTTTATTTAGTATAATTTTTTTGGAAGTTATGCTTTAATGGGATTTGTTGATTAATCAATTTTTTCTGACATAAGCTTCTTGTTGTGTGGTTTAGGATTGCTAAATTAGATTTTTGCTTTTGAATCTTTGCTAATTCTGTATTATATTCAATTCATTTTCGTTTTATCCGTTGCAACATCGATTTAATTTTCATTAATACACTGAAGAATTGTAACTGAAATAGTAAGTTTTTGAGACAGTGGATTCAAGATTAGACCAGTAGGACTTCCTTTGTGTTACTTCCGGGACTTGTGGATATAACTAGTTGTTTTTGAGTCTGTTTATATTAAATTTGATGTGAGTAGATGTAAGGAGAGGCAGTGTTATCAAGTAGCGGCGCCATGGCCACTATGGCGGATATACATGGTGTTTTTAGGGTTCGCCGCTATGGTAAATATCGGCCGATATTGTGGGTTTTCCTGCCATAATCAGCAATAACGGCGCCACAAAGTGGTCGGTGGTGGGATTTTGGCTCTCCGCCATGGACCTCCATCCGCCATCAACAACACTAAGGAGAGGATAAGTATGACTCGGATAGGTTATCTGTTTTCACTTTTCAATTGGCAGTTGGACATATTTTCTTCATGCTGTAAGCAATTGACTCCGTGATCTGTGTTCTGGATCAAATTACCATGCAAGATACTTTTGGTGAAATTTTAACGAAACCAGGAAACTTGTATTTTTCCCAGCATGTTATAGTCCAGAGTTAACTTTTCTAACGTGTTAGATGTTTAAACTGTATGTTTGAAGAGCAATTAAAATCTTTAGTTTTTGGACAGACATGGTACATCGGGTGAGGGTTGGTTTGGTTGTAGACTTGTAAATATAGAATGTTCTAGGTCTGAGTGACTTGAGAAAAGTTTAACGGATGTTATTTCAAATGAAGGAAGTGTCTTGGAGAATACTATAACCTACCAATATGGTATCGGACACAGTAGAAAAATGCTTTGATTAATACGTTTGAGCTTCATTACTGCCAGATTGATGATAATTGCTTACTTGTTATTTCCATGATTAGTTATTTTGTAATGTATACATTTTTTAGAATGTCGTAATCATTTGATTAAACTTCTTTGAAAGCCTGCAGGTTGTGTGTTAATTTTGATTTTCTTGATCGAAAGCTTGTTCATCTGTCCCTCTATTGGCGTTAGCTATGCTACCAACTGGAGCTAAAGAGGCACAATTACGCGAGACCAACAGTCAGAAAGTCCACCCTCAACCCATGGAAGAAGCCATGAACCAGAATCCAGAAGCCGTTGAAACCCTAGTATCTAAAATTTTCACTAATATCTCTACACTGAAATCAGCTTATATTCAGTTGCAAGCTGCTCATACTCCCTATGACCCCGATAAAATCCACACTGCTGATAAACTTGTTATTAGTGAGCTGAAAAATCTATCTGAACTCAAGCATTTCTACAGGGAAAACAACCCAAAGCCAGTGTGTGTTTCTCCCCAAGACTCACGTTTAGCTGCAGAAATTCAAGAGCAACAGAGCCTGCTAAAAACGTATGAGGTCATGGTTAAGAAATTTCAGTCTGAAATCCAGAATAAAGATTCAGAGATCCATCAACTTGAAAAGCAGATTGAGGAGGCTAGTCAGAAGCGAGCAAAACTAGAAAAGAATTTAAAGCTTAGAGGTTTGTCAACTAAAGAATCAGAAGATGGAAATGGATTTTTCCCTGTTGATCTAACTCCGGACCTCTTTACCTCTTCTGTGGAAGCAGCTGCGAAAGCAATTCATGATTTTTCTAAACCTTTGATCAACATGATGAAAGCAGCTGGGTGGGACCTTGATGCTGCTGCCAATTCAATTGAACCGAACGTTGTTTATGCAAAGAGAGCTCATAAGAAATATGCATTCGAGTCTTACATATGTCAAAGAATGTTTGGTGGCTTCGAGCAAGAAAGCTTCTCTATCAAATCAGACAATATTACAATCAATAAAGAGAGCTTCTTCCACCAATTTCTTGCGTTAAGGGAGATCGATCCTTTGGACATGCTAGGGCAAAATCCAGATTCTGTTTTTGGGAAGTTTTGCAGCAGCAAGTACCTAGCAGTAGTTCATCCAAAGATGGAAGCATCCTTCTTCGGAAACCTAGATCAGCGAAATTACGTGATGGGTGGAGGGCATCCAAGAACTCCTTTTTACCAAGCTTTTCTAAAACTAGCAAAGTCAATTTGGCTTTTACACAAATTGGCTTATTCTTTCGAGCCAAATGTCAAAGTATTTCAGGTTAAAGGAGGGAGCGAGTTCTCCGATGTTTACATGGAAAGTGTTGTCAATAATCTGATAATGAATGAAAATGACGAAAAGCCGAAAGTCGGATTGATGGTCATGCCAGGATTCTGGATTGGGGGAAGTGTGATTCAGAGTAAAGTTTATCTCACTGGTATGAAGGTAGCTGAATGATTCCTGAAAACAGGCAAGTTAACCAACAAATCCAAATCCATTTGGTTGTATGTGCTTTGTTTTATTTAATCATATTTTTCTTATCTTGTAAGATAATGCTATTGTTTGTAATTTGTAAGATCCATTTTAGTTCTTGTAAGATTACATGATCCCTTTATCTGTCTGTATGTTCATGTCTGTAACTCTAATAGTATATGTGGCTGGGATATTGGAAGGTGTATAAAAGTTTTCCTTTTTCCACTAATTTCACTTTTGGGTTCTTATTATGTTTTCCCAATCAATTATTTAACAACACACGCATCTTCCATCTTGAGGAGTAATTTACTCCTTTAATCTATACAAAATGTTTAATTTACAATTATGTTTCAATTAATTATCATTTTACTGTTTTAGAATACCATCAAAACCAAAATTATTTTTCTTCACTAATATACTCTTATTTAGTACTCTATATACATCTATCTTTTAAAAAATGACTCAAAATAGACCACTTTTTTTATTATTAATTAATCGAATAGTTAAGTGAAATGAAATATAATAAATATAAATATATTGATAAAAAAAATATTGTATTAATATATTAAAAAGACAGAAAATTTAAGATAAAAATATATTAGTGATGAAGAACTAAAACTCCCTCTAATTCAAATTATACATCACTAGATAAGTTTAACCTTAATTAAGAAATGTAATTAATGTTATGTGTCTTAAAGGCCGACAAACGATCCATAAAGACCAATCAAATTTATGGACTCAATTTAATCAAGGTGCACTAGTCATTGGTGTTGAGGTGTACATGCATTCATGGGTGCCACAAAGGAGCATGGATCTCCTTCCATCAATATTGTTAATCAACATCCCTCATTCGTCTTGTCATTATATCCATCTCAACCTTTAATTTCTCGTGTTTCTCATCTTCGACCTCAGACCCGTCGGATATATCAAATATCTGCTGATGATTGTTAAAGATCAGTCGGACCTGTGCCTGAGCACCTGCCTGGGTGTAGATAGGATTATGGAATTACGTCATTAATGGAACAGTCTGCTGCTGAAGATTGAATTGCCGGGCATTACTGAATGGTGGCATGAAATCCTTGGCGATACCAAACATATGTTCAGTTGCTGAGGTCACTACCGGAGAAGGATTTGTCGCCGTTGTATTGATTTCAGATACCACTGTATTCTGCGTGTCCATTTTTGCTCTTATCACTTGAAGGAATTCCATAATCTGGCTAACGTCGTCGCGTAGCCCCTCGAGGTTGTTGTTAATTTGATCGATTCTTTGGTCTTGATCAACCATTCTTCTCTGAGCGTTGGCTCTGGTATTGTATCGATGGGTATTCAGCATGATTTTTGACAGCAACAGAGCACGAGATGAGCCAGAGAACCGATGCAATGCAATGCAAATGAAATGCAGGATGCAGATGCAAATTCAAGCCACACATTCAAGGAAAACCAAAAGGTTTATTTACGAACAAAAATAGTGGATCAACATGTAACAACATGATGCTTATCATTAACAAATGAAAGCTTAATCAAATTCTCATTAACAAATGGAGTCTTACAAGCATAAAATTTTCATTAACAAATGAAACTTTCACAACATTTTGCAAAATGAAGGTTACACATTCCCAAAAACTAGGGATACAAACTAAACAATAGGAAATTAAAAGGCCAAGATCTTCTAACAAGATGATCCTTCTTCTTCTTGCAGCCTTGTCCCCATCTGGTCTTGACGAAGCAGCTCCCAGAGTTCTTCATTTTCTCGCGCTTGGCTTTGACTAAAGTGAAAATTAATTCTCTTCTAAACAGAAGTTCTTCTAGGACTGGCGGAATGTCGTAAGAGCGGGCGTATAACATCTTTAACGCCATCTCTTTTGACCAAAGTAGATAGGCCTCTGAGGCGAGACAACTTGGGTTTTCCATGGCAGTCATTCCTTGTAAGTTAGTATGACGCCAGACAAATATGACTCGTGCTTCGAAATCCGGGTTACTACCTTTTTCACATAAGCAAGTCTCTAACAAGGCTGGACTCGGTTCCTCCTCAGTTGGGTATCCTAACTGGCGGCGGGCCAGGACAAGACTATAGTTGATACATCCTTTGGTACCGATCAAAGGTATGTTTGAGAAATCCCCACAGCTATGTATTGCTACTATTTCTCCGTGAGCAAGATCATACCAGCTGATGTCATAGTGAAAGAGGGAAGCCAACTTTCTAACCCATTCATCACTGTCTTCTAGGTTCCATAGAGGGAACGTCCTAGGTAAATATGAAATAAACCATTTTCTTAAGAGCGCCGTGCAACATGCAAATTGTCTAAAATTATACACCCTCCACCGATGAATGGTGTAATAGGTGTCAGCCAACAGAGTAGGTGAGGGATTTCTGAAAATGAATAACTGGATGGCCTCTAAGCTGATGAACTCAGGATTACTTGGAAATAGATATAAGCCATAAATCAAGAAAGCCAGTATAGCTTCAAAGGTTCCCATATCTCCCTGATCATAATGAAACTCAGCCCTTTCCATAAGTGGTCTTGCTTCCATTCTAGTAAATCCACCTCTCGTATCCAGACGGGTTGGAAGGTCAGTGGGTTCTAGGTGTAGAGCCTCAGCAATATCTCTCATGTTTGGTCTCCTCTCTTTTCCATAGTGAGGTGTAAAAGTCATAGGAATCTTTAGATGCATGGAGTATTCTTCCAAAGTTGGTAGCAACTGAAAGTCCGGAAATGTAAAGCAATGGTAAAGAGGATCATAAAACCTTATGAGAGCTAGTAGCATTTCCTCATTCACTTACACGTCCAGTAAAGATAACAGGTCTCCATACTTGGCGATGAAAGCAGGAGAGTTCCTTACTAGGCCTCGTAAGATCCTCAAGTTGCCCAACCTTAGGCTAGGGAATGTGAACCTGTTTCTTTGAGCCATCACTATGTACTACAAAAAAAGATTTTGAATTCCTTGAATGGTTAACAAGATTCAAAATGTAATGCAAAGATGCTAGATGCAACTGATTTTACAAAACTCAGAAGATAAATTGAATCAAAACCCTTGTTTCATTTATATTGGGAAAAGTTACGACTTTTGAAATACAATACAAGAAACGTGAGGTTACATCAAAGGAGAAGACTAGGCCCTATGGTTAAGGAATCTGACAAGGGTCCTATCCGTGCGTCCTCTTTAGTCTTTTCAGCATAGTGTTCTCCATCACCAATTTGTCTACTATTCCTTTCTAGGAGCTAAAAGTTGGTGGAATATTTGAATACTCATGAGTACTTTGCGTAGGCTTAACGCTAGAGAAAAATAAATTCTCTTTTGTCACATCTTCACTATTCAAGCGTCTTTCGAGCTGCCCAATCAACTCATCCTTGTCCTGTAGCTCTCTCTACAATTCCGTCATCTCAGAATGAAAAGTATGGTACTTTCCTTCCCAAGTGTCCCTTTCAAGCTTGGTTCTCTCAAGGATCCCTCGGTATTCTTCCATCTTTTCAGTAGGGATGGCGGAAGATGACACGATGACAATCTGCATATTCTTTTCAGGAAGGTAAGGAATCTTGAGATCACGGGCTCTAGATTGAACCGATTGAGTGAATGGCTTAAAGGCCACACAATTTCTTTTCCCAAGGTCAGCTTTAGTTTTCTTCCGGATGTTCTCCCAAGCATCAATCACACTATTCCTTGAACTCTTCTCTGCTTCAGAGTTAAGGTAGAAGAAACCAGATGATAAGATGTTGCTAGGTTTATCCTTCATTGGGAATCCAAATTGACGTCTAGCCAAAGCGAGATTGTAGTTGATTCCCCCTCGTACTCCCAGGAGTGGTACATTTGGAAAAGAACCACAACTATCAATGTAGATTCCTCGATCATAGGCGGGATCATACCAGTGAATATCTGCTTTAGTTAGAGACATAATCCTTTGAGACCATCTCCAACCATTAGGATTTTCCTTGAAAGCGTCTGTCCTCGATAAATGATTGACAAACCATTTGTACAACAACGGTGCACAACATAGAATAGTTCCTCCTCCATGAAGAGTCCTATGACGAACAGAATGATAAACATCACCTAGCAAAGTGGGTACTGGATTACTATTCAAGAACACGGTGATAGCAATTGAAGTGACAAATTCTTCTATCTTAGGGAACAATACCAACCCATATATCAATAGAGCCAAAACTGCTTCAAATGCGCCCATTCTACCTTCCTTGGAAAGTTAAGTAGCCTTCTTCAATAAGTAATCAAAATGAAAACCTTTAACCCCATTCTTTGAAGCACAATTGGCTTTGATCTCAGATACTTCTAGATGAAGTGCAACAACAATCTCCTTCGGCGAGGGTAATTTCTCCAAACCGCTGAACGGTTTCTTATCCGTCATAGGGATTCCAATGAAGTAAGAGTATTCTTCCAGTGTCGGCATCAATTGGTAATTCGAAAAGGTAAAGAAGTGGTATAGCGGATCGTAGAACTGAACCTAAGTGCTAAGAACCCCTTCTTCCATTCTAGTCTTCACAATACTCATGAATTTCCCGTATGTTTTCCCAAAATCTTCGGATACCAACATTCCTAGCTCTCTCAACTTTGTTGTATCACATTTCTTGAATTTGTATTTCTTAGTGTTTCTTTTCCCAAAATCCATGATATCTAAGATTTCGCAAAAGAAGACAACTGAGTTTTATAAAACCAGTGCACCAAGATGAGATGCTATGATGATATGATGCATACATAACACATAGACAAGTATACAAAATGCACAAATGCATATGCTAACAAGCAAGGGACCTAGGTTTGGGGTTATGAGTATGAAGCCAGGGCATACCCTTCCAAAAGACATGTACCAAGGATTTCATTGTACTTGTAGAGCAGGTTCTATCAAGAGTTCCTAGAGTCATAGATAAATCCTTCAGATATTATAAACCAATATGACTACTCATGTGGGTTAAAAATATTCTCAGGATAAACTCGTCTGAGTATAGTATCACGTAACAACTATTTCGGGACTACTC